AAACCGAACACATATTAATTAGACAGGTTCTGTGGCTGACTAAGGTGGTCATTAAACTCTGGATTGGGAATGCCACCTCATCCCTTTAAAACCAAACACATTAATTAGACAGATTCTGTGGATGACTAAGGTGGTCATTAAACTCACTTAGTGCCTTATCTGCATTCAATTAGCCTCAGAACCCGTGTAATTAATATGTGTTTAGTTTTAAAGGGATGAGGTGGCAACCCTACTCTGGATGGAGGACATAGTATCTGACCAGGTGGGTCGCACTCAGGGAGGTGGGGCTGTTCCAAAGGCGCAATTTTCCTCTAAGTCACTGTCCTCTGACCCCATAAAAATGGTATAATCCATTAGTATTGACTGATCAAGTGAGAAGGTGGGAAAGACGACACATCTCCAAAATGAAGAGAATGTTCCAGCCCCGTAAGTGGGTGGTTGTTCTGACCCTGAAGGGGTTTAATCTAGGTTTCCACACTATATGTGTGTACCATCAAAGTGACTATGGAGGAAGAGGACGGGCATGACGATGGAGGAAGAGGACGGGCATGACTATGGAAGAAGAGGATGAACGTGACTATGGAGGAAGAGAACGGACGTGACGATGGAGAAAGAGGACGGGCTTGACGATGGAGAAAGAAGACGGACATGACAATGGAGAAAGAGGTCGGATGTGACAATGGAGAATGAGGACGGGCGTGATGACAGAGGAAGAGGACAGACATGACGGGAAGGTTACTGGGTGTAAATAGAAAATCAAATCTTATTACCACCTCTGCTGCCACTTCCAGCAATGTCTCCTCTCTACTTCCTCCAAACTCACCTCTCAACAGAACTTTTCTATTTATACCTGACATCACTTCCTGCCTTCCATAGAGACTTCCTGTGTGGGTAGAAGTGAGATCACCACCTTGTGGAGCTCCGAGGAACTGCAGCCCCAAGAAACATTTTGTGCACTTAGGTATACGTGTATAATGCTAGGGTGACGCACTCTTAACATTTCACCTTAAACTAGAACTTCACTCAAAAAGTGAAGTCCTGCCGGTTTGCTCCCTCCCCCCGTCTGTAATTGAGTTACAGGATTTTTTCGGGGGAAGGGGAGTACCAATTTTTATTGGAACTGACTCCCACCTCTGCAATCCTTGCCTAGACGAATACAATGTCTTTCGCCCCACATCCTCCCCTCCTGCAGCCTCCTGTCAGATGTCTCAGGTGGAGACTTAGTCCATGTTCTGCTCATCCATGACCTTTCCTATGCGGAAGAACTTCTTTAGCTGGGTGACACATCTACACAACTCCTCCAAAACTTGGTTAGTATAGAGGTCACCCAACAGAGACACATGGAGAAAGGTTTGTATGAAACCTTACCCACTCAAGTAATTTGTTTAAACATCTTAACTTAGCAGAAGGTCCATCACCATAGTCCTGAGTCTTAGGTGGAGATGTAGTCCATATCCTGCTCATCCATGACCTCACCTACGTGGAAGAAAGTCTTTAACTGGAGGTCTGTGATTGTCACAAACGACCCCCAAGGTGACACATCTACACAACTCCTCCAGAACTTGGTTAGCAGAGAGGCAACCCAACAGAGACACATGGAGAAATGTTTGTGAGTTCAAACCTTACCCAACTCATGTAATTTGTTTAAACATCTCAACGTAGCATGATATACATAAACTATTGGGGATGGTCTACTAAAGTGTGGGGAAAATTATTGTCATAGGGTTTGGCTGATGTTTGGTCTTAGCCTCAATGGAGACACATGGACAAAGGATTTTGAGTACTAATCTTACACACTGCAAGTTAGTAACTAAAGGTTATTAGCTCACCATGATATAAATCACAAACTCTCTCTATAAGGAGCTGCCAACATAGAATAAACTGAAGAGAAGAAGAAGCTCTAGAACTATACAGAAGGTCCATCACCATAGTCCTGTGAGTCTCACGTAAAGACGCAGTCCATGTTCTCTGCCCATCCATGACCTCACTCATGTGGAAGAACGTCTTTAGCTAAAGGTCTGTGATTGTCACAAACAACCCACAAGGTGACACATCTACACAACTCCTCCAGATCTTGGTTAGCATATAGGCAACCCAATAGAGAAACATGGAGAAACGTTTGTGAGTATGACCCTTACCCAACTCATTTATTTAAACTTCTTAACTCAGCAGGTCCATCACCATAGTCCTATGAGCCTCAGGTGGAGACATAGTCCATGTTCTGCTCATCCATGACCTTTCCTATGTGGAAGAACTTCTTTAGCTGGAGATCAGTGATTGTCACAAACAACCCACAAGGTGACACATCTACACAACTCCAGAACTTGGTTAGTATAGAGGTCACCCAACAAAGGCACATGGAGAAATGTTTGTGAGTATGAAACTTACCCACTCAAGTCATTTGCTTGACCTTTCCTATGTGGAAGAACTTCTTTAGCTGGAGATCTGTGATCATCACAAAGACCTTAGCAGAAGATCCATCACCGTCTTCCTATGAGCCTCAGGTGGAGACATAGTCCATGTTCTGCTCATCCATGACCTTTCCTATGCAGAAGAACTTCTTTAGCTGGAGATCCAGATTGTCACAAACAACTCTGTCAGACACTGCCTGGCGGTACCTCTAGCAATCCACAGGACAGGATTCCCCAGAGTACAGAGTCTAAGCCCCAGTCTGCTTGTTCACCAGGGCCCCTGATGGTGGGGATGGACTTGGATCAGACAGTGACCAGGTCGCGGCCCCTGAGTACACCCGCTGGTGGTAGAGGGATCCGCCAGAGGTATATACTGGTAGAGAGCCTGACGTGAAGAGGCGGGAAGGCCTGAGCAGTGGTGACCGGATCCATGCAGGATGGATGGCAGGAGAAGCAAGCGTGGTCGGACAGGCCGGGTCGGTGACAGTGGGGACAGCGCGGTACAAGGCAGCAGGCAAAGAGTAGTCAGGTCACTCGCTGGGTTCGGTAACAGGAATTCAGATCAATAGGGATATCCAGAGTATGAAACTTACCCACTCAAGTAATTTGTTTAAACATCTTAACTTAGCATAAGGTCCATCACCATAGTCCCGAGTCTCAGGTGGAGACGTAGTCTATATTCTGCTCATCCATGAGCTTTCCTATGCAGAAGAACTTCTTTAGCTGGAGCTCCGTGATCGTCACAAAGACCTTGGTTAGCATTGAGGCAACCCAACAGAGACACATGGAGAAAGGTTTGGGAGTATGACCCTTACCCAACTCAAGTCATTTATTTAAACATCTTAACTTAGATTGTAAGCTCCAAGGAGCAGGACCCTCCTAACCCTCTTGTATTGCACTGTATCATTGCTGTGTTGTCTCCTTTTTATATTGTAAAGCTCTGAGCAAACTCTTGGCACTATATAAATCATGTATAATAATAACTTAGCAGAAGGTCCATCACCATAGTCCTATGAGCCTCAGGTGGAGACATAGTCCAGTTCTGCTCAACATCTTCAGCTCTCACTGTGAAGAAACCTTTCCATGTTTGGAGATTACATTTCTTTTCCTCCAGACGTAAACAGCGCCCCCTTATCCTCTGTGATGACCTCAGGGTGAATGACTCTACACAGAGTTCACTATATGAACCACTGATGTATTTATACATGGAGATCATATCCCCCCTTATGTATTATACATGGAGATTATTACCCCCCCTTATCTCCTCTTCTGAAGAAAGAATACATTCAGTTCCTCTAATCTTTCCTCACAGCTGAGCTCCTCCATGCCTCTTATCAGTTTGGTTGCCCTTCTCTGCACTTTCTCCAGTTCCCCAATGTGCTTTTTGTGAATTGGTGCCCAAAACTGAACTGCATATTCCAGATAAGCCTCAGGTGGAGACATAGTCCATGTTCTGCTCATCCATGAACTTTCCTATGTGGAAGAACTTCTTTAGCTGGAGATCCGTGATCATCACAAAAACCTTGGTTAGCATAGAGGCAACGCAACAGAGACACATGGAGAAAGGTTTGTGAGTATGACCCTTACCCAACTCAAGTCGTTTATTTAAATATCTTACCTTAGCAGAAAGTCCATCACTCTGGTCCTATGAGCCTCAGGTGGAGACATAGTCCATGTTCTGCTCATCCATGAACTTTCCTATGCAGAAGAACTTCTTTAGCTGGAGCTCCGTGATCGTCACAAAAACCTTGGTTAGCATTGAGGCAACCCAACAGAGACACATGGAGAAAGGTTTGTGAGTATGACCCTTACCCAACTCAAGTCATTTGTTTAAACAACTTAACTTAGCATGATTGTGGTAGATTTACTAAGGTGTACGGTGAATTATTGTCATAAGGTTTGGCTGATGCTTGGTTTTGGCCTCAATGGAGACACGTGGACAAAGGATTGTGAGTACGACCCTTACACAGCTTGTGTTAGTAACTAAAGTCTCTTAGCTCACGATGATATAAACTATCCTTGCTATACCTCTTTCTGTCCAAGATTACCGTTTTATTTTTCTTAGGCATGTATCTCAGACTGAGTGTGTCTGCCAGTGGAGGAGAAGAATTCTGTGCAATGAAGATGAATGTTACAAGTCATTATTACATATCTGACACACAAAAAGAATGTTTACCTCATGATTTACTTAGAAGCTGATTACAGGACAACAAAAAGATAACTGGTATTTACTTTGGCAGAATGACCGGCGTATAAGGTATGCCTTTGGAACTTATATTACGTCCAAGGTCTATGTGGTCCAAGGTCTTTGACTGGTTAAAATATTTCATGTACAGCCAAGCCATCAGGACGGTGTCACTGAGTAGTGGCTCTATACTTAGCTACTTGATATCAGACCTACATTCTAAACCAGTGATCGTCAACCTGCAAGCTAAAGGGGGACCTCAAATGTGGCCCCTAATGTCTCCAAACTGTCACAGACTGAGGACTTGCTGAAGGATTTAGTCAAAAGATTGTTCTACTGGAGTGTTTGGAGACTCATATAGAAGACATTTCCTGTACTTAGGACAGTAACAGACCTTGAGTCACATGGATTTTCTGATGTTTGGTAACATGGGAACTCTGTGAAAAACATTTCCCGCACTCAGGGCAGGAATACGGCTTTTCGCCCGTGTGACATCTCTGATGTCCATGAAGATGGGCCTTCTGTGCAAAACATTTCCCGCACTCAGGACAGGTATACGGCTTTTCACCAGTGTGTGACCTTTGATGTATATAGAGCTTGGACTTCTCTGAAAAACATTTCCCGCAGTCGGAGCAGCAATACGGCTTCTCCCCCGTGTGAGTTTTTTGGTGAGTATAAAGATTAGACTCATTTAGGAAACGTTTCCCACACTCAGGGCAAGAATACGGCTTCTCCCCAGTGTGAGATAATTGGTGTCTGACTAGTTGTGCTTTCCGTGGATAACATTTTCCGCACTCAAGGCAGGAATATGGCTTCTCCCCTGTGTGAGTTTTCTGATGCCTTTGAAGATGGGACTTCTCTGAAAAACATTTCCCCGCACTCAGGGCAGGAATACGGCTTCTCTCCGGTGTGAGTTTTCTGATGTCTGTAGAGATGGGACTCGGTTAGAAAACACTTTCCGCACACATGGCAGGAAAATGGCAACACCCCTGTGTGAGATGTTTGATGTCTGACTAGCTGTGATTTACGTGGATAACATTTCCCGCACTCAGAGCAGGAATAAGGCCTTTCGCCTGTGTGTGATCTGCGATGTGCGACTAGCTCATATTTTACTGGGTAACATTTCCCACACTCAGGGCAGGAATACGGCTTCTCCCCCGTGTGAGATCTCTGATGTCTGACCAGTTGTGATGTTTGTGAGTAAGATTTCCCGCACTGAGAGCAGGAGTACGGCTTCTCCCCGGTGTGAGATCTTTGATGTCTGACAACTAGCGACCGCGTGGCGAAACATTTCCCGCAGTCGGGGCAAGGATGTGGCTTGTCTGCTGTGTGAGAACTCAGATGTGCGTAGAGACTCGGTTCAAAGATAAAACTTTCCACGCATTCAGGATCGGAAAACGTCTTCTCTTCTTGAATCCCGGCCCCATCCCTCACAGTACAAGGGTGCTCAGAGTCAGAGGGATCCCATGGTCTCTCCGCACTGGGAAGTCCACCAAAAGCTCTTGCGAGGTTCTCATCTTCTGTTTTAAAATCTGGAGATAAAGTGGGACGATCCTTTGAGGATTTCTTGATAGCGTGTCCTGGAAAAAGAGAAAAAAATCTCATTACTGTTAATGCGAGTGAATTAGATCTGCTAAACCAAGATTCCATCTACATCTGGTAGATGTTCTCTGGTTGTCCCAACCAACTCTTCCCATTGGAGAGAGTTTGGAGAAGCATTTTCTCCTGGAAAGATACATGTTTAAGTTTCTCTCTTCCTGTTCTTTTCCATTTTAAAAATCTTAGCTAGATCTTCTCGAAGAAGACGGAAAAACCTAAGAAAAGCTCAATCTGTGATACTGTAACAAACCTAATACTAAGGATGGGTACAACCATTTATCAACCTATTATTGGCTGATATCACTCAGCTCCCACCCTACTCTGGACCAATCAGTGACCAGTAACAGAGCAGAGATAAGAGAAGAATATATCATGGTCACCTGTGCTGACTTTTCTCCATTCTGGGGCAACAGTAGGAGACTGCAGTGCCTCAAAAACAGTCTGAGATGGTCCAAGAGTCATAGACAGACTGGAGCATGGTGCAGTCAATGTGTGTAAAGAGTTGAGCGCACATGGACAAAAGTCCAAGGTGGATGTGGAGGTCACTAAGGAAAGGGCAGAAGACCCAGCCTCCAATGCTGAAAACCCTCCAATAGGGGAAACATGCTCCAGATTACAGGTGCTGGCTTCAACTGAGGATACCGAATAATTGCACCCAAAACCATTTGGGGAGTATGGGCATGGGTCACCCGTGACAGCAGGACGGTCTCCTCTGTGTCCATGGGCAGACAAGGTGCAGTAATGCAACTTAGGCCCTAATCTCACAGCAAGACCTCAGGTTCTCACAAACCAAGACAGCTGGTGATGAGGGTCGGACAACTGGAGGTGACCAGTAACAAGGCAATGGCAGCCAACCAGTTCCATGGGGTGCTTTGCAAGAAAAAGTGGAATGAACAGACAAGAAAGAGAGCTCACCTGTGTTGATCTCTGTAGGAGTGTCCTCCTCTATGAATCTCCTCCTCATTCTAGCCTCCTCCGTATATTGCTGATCATCCCTCACATATGTCTCTTCTACTTCACCCTCAACTTTCATGTCCATCAGATCTTCACCCTAAACCAACAGAATGGCAGAAAATAACATCTGTAACATAGAAGGATTTATGATGTGAGATCACATAGAACATCTCATCTTGTAGAGTCCACACATCGTCTCCACATGTCAGAGTGTTCCATCACTTTATGTTCTCGACCCTCAACTCCACCTACCTGATGATGGTGAGGGATGGTGTGATCTTCCTGTGTGGAATCCCGGGAATAGAAAGCACGGGGACATCTATCTGGTGGTGGGTTCCTGGTATTAGGTGGCTCCATCATATCCTTGTGTCCTTCTGAAAACTCCTCCATCACTCCATACTCCTCATCCTCCTCTCTTTATACTCTTCTTTAAGAACAATATTAAAATCTACAAGGTTTCCGCTCTAGATATATAATAAAACATGGATTGTAACAAACACACTTGTGTATAAATCACAACTAGCAATAATTGGACCTCACCTACCTCATGATGGTGAGAGATGGTGTGACCTTCCTGTGTGGAATCCCGGGAATACAGAGGACGGGGACATCTCTCTGGTGGGTTCCCATGACTGGATCCATCTGTAGGAAACACACACACTGACTGAATCCATTGTTTCTATGTGTTTATCAGATGATGGGGGATCTAGGTGGATCCTCCGTACTGCTCTCTCCTTTCCAATAAAGTCTCCTCTTACCCGGTGATGTGAGGGGCGGCTGACTGTCCATCATGACATCCTTGTAGAGGTCCTTGTGTCCTTCTAAATACTCCCACTCCTCCTTAGTAGATATGGTTCCATAATTCCCAGAGCCATTCACTTCTCCCGTCAGCAGCTCTACAATCTTCTTGGTGATTTCTATAATCTTCTGAATTTTGTGTCCCTTGGGTGTCAGGCAGTGAGTTGAAGGCACGGTGATGGTGACATGGTCACCAGACTTCACAGGAGGCAAACTCTATATTGAAAAACCAACTGCTGTAGCATCATATAAAATTCCCAGAATCCTCCTCACCTCTCCGGTCAGGTCTGTGTTTTATTAATAGAGAGTGATGTCATGTGACCTCCCAGAATTCTCACCTCTCCAGTCAGGTTTTATTAATAGAGATAAGAGTGAAATCATGTGACCTCCCAGAATCCTCCTCATCTCTCCGGTCAGGTCTGTGTTTTATTAATAGAGATGAGAGTGACGTCACGTGACCTCCCAGAATCCTCCTCACCTCTTCGGTCAGGTCTGTTTTATTAATAGAGATGAGAGTGATGTCATGTGTCATGTGACTCCCAGAATCCTCCTCACCTCTCTGGTCAGGTCTGTGTTTTATTAATAGAGATAGGAGTGATGTCATGTGGCCTCCCAGAATCCTCCTCACCTCTCCGGTCAGGTCTGTGTTTTATTAATAGTGATGAGAGTGATGTCATGTGACCTCCCAGAATCCTCCTCACCTCTGCGGTCAGGTCTGTGTTTTATTAATAGAGATGAGAGTGATGTCATTTGACCTCCCAGAATCCTCCTCACCTCTCCGGTCAGGTCTGTGTTTTATTAATAGAGATGAGAGTGATGTCATTTGACCTCCCAGAATCCTCCTCACCTCTCCGGTCAGGTCTGTGTTTTATTAATAGAGATAGGAGTGATGTCATGTTGCCTCCCAGAATTCTCCTCACCTCTCCGGTCAGAAGGTAGATTATCTCCAGAGTGAGGTTTAGTATCCTCTCAGTCATGTGACTCCGGTCCTCTTCCATCCTCGTTGATGTGGTCATGAGATCTATGAGTTTCTCTGTAGATGGATAGTGGAGAATGATCTAGACTGCAATGGTTGTACAATATTAGGATGTATGAGGTTATTGTATTACTTTCAGCAATACCCGGCTATGTACTATTGCCTGGAGTGGGAGACACGTTTGGTCTGCACTGCTCGGAGTTTGCTCTTCTACTTGGGACCAGGTATCCCTTAGGTCTGACTGTCAGATTAGAAATTTCCTTTTTCAAGAAACACAGATAGGACCTTCTATCTTCCATCAACTGTCATCATTGTGCTCCAATTTATGCTGTGAAGGCAACAGAAAGTCAATATATCATAGAAGGTCCTGACCTCAGATGGAGGAGCTGTGAAGGGCGTGTGAGGCTACTATGCTCATTTTAACCTCCACCAATCACCAATGGTACCAGCCTACCCCTACTGGTCACCAATGCACTTACCTGGGTTGTACTAAAGGTCCTATTGTCCTCTAAACCCCCCATCCTCCATCTACAATAAACCTTGTATAATACTTTAGGATAGGCTTCTAAGGAGAAAAGATCATTGGTGGAAAGATGACACATCTTCAAAATAAAAACCTTCTTGCCCCGAATGTATATCCGATATGTAAGAATGTTGCAGCTCTTAAGTGTTCTGTTCCCTGAAGGGCTAAATCTAGGTTTCCACACTATACATGTGTGTATCATCATCTGCTGGAGATAAATGATGTCACAGTGACTATGGAGGAAGAGGATCAACACGACTATGGAGGAAGAGGACTGACTGACGTGAGGGATGGAGGGAGAGGACGGGCACGACGATGGAGGAAGAGGACCGACACGACGATGGAGGAAGAGGACCGACACGACGATGGAGGAAGAGGACCGACACGACGATGGAGGAAGAGGACCGACACGACGACGGATGGAGGACACGAATGGAGGACCGACCGACGACGATGGAGGAAGAGGACCGACACGACGATGGAGGAAGAGGACCGACACGACGATGGAGGAAGAGGACCGACACGACGATGGAGGAAGAGGACCGACACGACGATGGACGACACGACGATGGAGGAAGAGGACCGACACGACGATGGAGGAAGAGGACCGACACGACGATGGAGGAAGAGGACCGACACGACGATGGAGGAAGAGGACCGACACGACGATGGAGGAAGAGGACCGACACGACGATGGAGGAAGAGGACCACGACGGACGACTACGGAGGAAGAGGACGGACACGACTACGGAGGAAGAGGACGGACACGACTACGGAGGAAGAGGACGGACACGACTACGGAGGAAGAGGACGGACACGACTACGGAGGAAGAGGACGGACACGACACGACTACGGAGGACTACGGAGGACGGACACGACTACGGAGGAT